CACAGAAAAGGAGTGGCCTCATCAGTGGCCCTGGCTCTCTTGGGCCGCTGGTGGCCTCTGGTTACCCTGAGACCTAAGGGGTTTGCTGAGCACCCATGTCTGGATATGCCAAGTTCCTAGAATCCCTAGAAATACAAGGAGAAGAAGCCCCTTCCCCAGGAAAATCCATTTCACTGGACAATAGGTGACTTCAGCTGCCTTAGGACCTGAAAGAGAGAAAGCACAAGTGGAATTGTTGGCAGGTGCTGAGGGCTTATGGCAACCTCAAACTTCTGGGCTTAAGCGATTCTCTTGTCTCAACCTGGGACTACAGGCACCTGCCACAATACCCAGCTATTTTTTTGTTATAGTTGTCATTGTTGTTTAGCTAGTCGGGCTGGGTTCCAACCCATCAGCCTCGGTGTATGTGGCTAGCACTATAATCACTGTGCTACGGACACCGAGCCCTCCAAGTATTGTCTAAGGGTGCTTGAGAGAATGGAGAGGGCAGTTACCTGCACAGAGCTGCCGAGCAAGGAAGGGAATGGAGCTGCTATTGCTAACACGATTCATAACTGTGCAGGTATAGTTCCGGTCCAGATCACCAAGGCTCCAGGAGTCACTGAGGACAGATCCCATCTGGGACACAACAGTCCCTGATCCCACTGCTGACCACACATATGTGATGCCCTGTCTTCCTTCCTCCACAGAACACCTGAAGATGGCATTACAGGTCCCGTTCTCATAGGTGATGGTCTGTACTTCAGCTTGAGGCCTTGGCAGCCGCTCTGGTCGAAAAAATAGTTTTTAAAGCTCTAAATAGCAATAGAGGGCCTTTCTAGACCGTCTCATGAAAAAGGATGCAGGTGCTCAAGGAGAGAAAACAGAGCAAAAGTGCACCCCTTCAGAGAAAAGACCCCTGACTCACCCCTGTCCAGCTCCTGGGGGGCTGCATTAGGTAAAGGGCAAGTTATGTGATTTGCAAGTAGCCCCCCAAATAGCCAGGACCTGCCAGACTTAAGAAGGACAAAAAAGAATAAGAAAAGTAAAAAACAAATATCTACCTAGGAAAAATTCTGGACTAATCAAAAGAGTAAAATTGGGGGACAAGTTTACCAAGGGTCATCTAGCCCCCTAGACTTAGTGGGTGGCTGCACTCCTGTCATCACAGGGACCTGGCCCTCTAGGCCATTACTCACGGAAGATCCTCAGAGCATAAGTGAAAAACTTCGTAGAGGTCTCTGTGGCTATCTGGGCTGTGTAAGATCCTGTGTCTGCCGTCGTCAAGTTGCTGAGCTGCAAGGAGCAGCACCCAGTGAAGCTCAGCCGCTCTCTTAGTTTTGGGTCGGTCACGTGGGGTTCTGAACTTTGGTCTTCCCTTAGACTTATGAAGGCAATAGATGTTCCATTGTAAACCCAGGTGATGGACCTGGCCTTCTCTTCCGTGGGAAACTTCAGGGCAAGAGTTATCAACTCCCCCAGAACCCGGTTCACCATCAACGGGGTCATGCTGTCCTGTGAAACTGCACCCCCTATAAACACAGAAGGAAAAGGCTTTAAATTGGTCCCTGACAACCCCTGCCTCAGGTCTCCCAGTCAGTCCTGGCTCCCCTATGTTGGTGTCCATAAGAATATTGAACATAAACAGGTATTAGCAGTGGTGCTCTGGCTGGAGCTTGATGAGGGAAATACTTAAACTCTCCTTTCTGCTGGAAATCCTAGGGATTCTTCCTGCTAGGATCATTCTTCCTCATCTCAGGACTTGGTTTCCCCTAAGGGCTGGTGGCCCTGGAAGATAAGAATGGAAAGCTCTGGGAAAGTCACACACCATCCCTGTCCTGCCTGGCCCCTTTCTTCCCTCAGCCCTAGATTTCACCTCCCATGACTTCCTATTTTTGGAAATGTTTCCCCCTCCAGAACTGGAGTTTGGGTGTCTCCAGAACTGCAATTTGAATATCACTGCAGTTCCAGTGTCTCAGTAGCATCTGATTATTAAGATCCTAGATGACAGGACACCTGCTTCTTAGTCCCAATCCTGCCTCCATTTAGACATGTAGCTTTCAAGAAGCTTGTTGATTTCTCCAATCTTCTCTGCCTTTATAAAACAAGGGAGATAAAATGCAAAGTCTTTCCGATTCCTTCCAACTCTGGCCTTCACAATGTTATTCTTTTTTTTTTTTTTTTGAGACAGAGCCTCAAGCTGTCCCCCTGGGCAGAGTGCCGTGGCATTACAGCTCACAGCAACCTCCAACTCCTGGGCTCAAGCGAGTCTCCTGCCTCCGCCTCCCAAGTAGCTGGGACCACAGGCGCCCGCCACAACACCCGGCTATTTTTTGGTTGCAGCCGTCATTGTTGTTTGGCGGGTCCGGGCTGGGGATTCGAACCCGCCACCTTAGGTGTATGTGGCTGGCGCCTTAGCCGGTTGAGCTATAGGCGCAGAGCCCACAATGTTATTCTATGTGCCTTAGCTGTTTCTCTCTTCTCCTTCCTCCTTCCCCGTCCTTCACTGTCTAGTTAGTCTTTCTGTCTTGTGTCCTAACATCCCCAAACCTCTTCTCTCTTCCTGGCCCCCTAAGCTCCCTAATATGGAGTCCTCAATTCTGCCCACATGGATACCCCACCCCTCGGGAGGTCAGGCTACTGGGGAGGAGCTCCTGACTTACATTCCTGTGACTGGAGAAGCAGCAGGAGGAGGAGAAGCTGAGTGGGAGGCCCCATGTTGGCAGGATAGACCTGGTTTGCCTTGAAGATCATGCAGAATTAAGAAGAAGGTGGAAGAGGGCAGTAAGTCCTGATCTGATGCATGTCAGCTCCCTGTTCTAATCACACTTGCTAACCACTTCCTTTGTCAGTGCTTTCTTTCTTGTTTGTGGGAAACCAGGAGTATACAGGGTAGTCATAAATTTCATTGTATTTGTAACTACTTCAATTGGACGGGAACTTTATAGCCACCCTGTATGAAACATCCCTGTACCTGCTACTCAGTTTTGTTTTTGTTTTTTTTTAGAGACAGACTCACTTTGTTGCCCTCAGTAGAGTGCTGTGGTGCCACAGCTCACAGCAACCTCCAGTTCTTGGGCTTAGGTGATTCTCTTGCCTCAGCCTCCTGAGTAGCTGGGATGACAGGTGTTGGCCACAATACCCAGCTATTTTTTTGTTGCAGTTTGGCCGGGGCTGGGTTTGAACCCACCACCCTTGGTATATGGGGTCGGTGCCCTACTCACTGAGCCGCAGGCACTGCTCAACCACTCAGTTTTTTAATTGACTCAATAATTGTCCATATTTATTGGGTACAGTGTGATATTTTAATCCATATATACAATGTGTTCTTTTCTTTTTTTAATAAATAACCTCCCTTCAAAAAGTTAGTGAGAATAAAGAATATAGAATGTGGTTAGAGGCATTTTACATTGCTATCAAATACAGTCATTTACTTGAATAAGAAGTGCTTTCTTTATAAACATGGTTCCTGCCATTGGGAGCTCCGACTTTGATAGAATACTTTCCGTGACAAAAATAACTATGAAAAAAATATGCCTGTGGAAGGAGAACAGTCTAAATTCACAGGCAATTTAAACTCCTTTTGGCCTTTATATCAACTTTTATGTTACAAAAATAATGTTGGCTGGGTAGCTATCTCACTAGCAAACTGTATAGTTTTTATGAGATTGGCAAATCTTGATCAAGTATTGCATTTTTTTTTTTTTTGAGACAGAGTCTCACTTTGTCGCTCTTGGTAGAGTGCCATAGCATCACAGCTCACAGCAACCTCTATTAGGCTTAAGCAATTCTCTTGCCTCAGCCTCTCAAGTAGGTGGGAGTATAGGTGCCCACCACGATGCCTGACTGTTTCTTGAGTCTCACTCTGGCTCAGGCTGGTCTTGAACTCAGGCAATCCACCCTCCTTGACCTCACAGAGTGCTAGGATTACAGGTCCTAGGAGCCACCATGCCTGGCCCAAGTATTGCATTTTTAAAGCATAAAACCACTGGCTACTGATATCTTCCTCAACATTCATCAATTATTTTCTTCAAATTCAAACAGTATGCACACATACAGTCCATTATCAAAGAAAGCATGATAAACTACCCTAAACAAAGCAGTAGCATAATCTGCATGCTGTTTTACAATGGTAGAATAAAAACGGTTACATTTTCTCAGGTAGAAGGCAAAAGTGTATTATTTCTCCATTTCTGCTGAACTCATTTATCTTCTTCAGGCTTTCACGAAAATCGCAGGCAATCCAGTACCCAGGGTTTGACTGGAGACTTACTAATCAGGATAGAAGTCCTGATGCAGTTCATAAAAACCCAATTTTAAAAAAGGCATCAAAAACCACATTTGAAAAAAACTGTCCACATATAAAGAATGAAGCATTTGTAAGTTCCCAGCTTATATTCTAATAAGAGTACCAAACAGTTGAATATTGGCAGCCTGTGAATGCGACCCACGGAAGGAGTCTGAGAACCAAATTAATATGCTTGGTTCACTCTAATTCCACTGGTATCTTGGGTAAAAACAGTTCTTGCAGTCTGGAGTTTCTCCTCATGACCATTTAACCGTTACATCTTTATATCTTGAGATTCAACTATGTTGGCAAGTGTCTTCCAGATTCTCCATGCTATAAGTCTGGACTGGATGGGGGTGTGGGGGCAGCATTCTGCTGTGTGTTTTTCTTTTTTTTTTTTGCAGCTTTTGGCCGGGGCTGGGTTTGAACCCACAACCTCCGGTATATGGAGCCGGAGCCCTACTCCTTTGAGCCACAGGCACCGCCCCATGTGCTTTTCTTTTAATTGGCCTTGACAGTTGCCTCAGCTTCTGTCCTTAAAGACATCAATAGTTCAGAAATATTAAGATACTACTTTATAATAACTTAATGTGGTTTTAAAAAGATTCTGATATAATCATTTAGCCATTTTTCAATTTAAATCCTCCCTTACCTTATAGCATAAAATACACTCTGAATGGTTTACAAAGTTAAATGAAAAGAATGAAACCATCGTGCACTGCTATTTCCAAACAAGTGATGGGAATTCAGTAGAAGCTCCTACTTGGTTTGCTGTAATAATGCACTTTTTTTTTTTTTTTAATAATGCACCTTTTAAACAAGTGCAGTACAAGTCCTCAGCAACAAAATTCCTCCAACACTGTTGGCATTGGTGACCTCATCCTCAAGCTTTAACCTCACACCATCTAGTATCTCCTGGCCCATTTTACTACAAGATTCATGTCTGGCCCAAGATGTCTGGATATGGGCAATAGAATTTGTCACTTGAGGCTAGGTTCATAAAATATCGCTGGCATCACATAACAAAAATCAGTGTGAACTAACTTGTGACAGGGTGTGCAGTGGTTATTACAAGAATAAAGAGCTAAAGGGCAAGAGCATAGTGAGGGCTCAAAAAACCCTGAATCCAGGAAATGAAAACCAAGGGGAAACCAAGTAGGACTGTCTCTTCACTCCACTCTATGTGTCTGGTTTATTCTCATTCTGGATCAGCTCTCTCTTCACCTCCTTACTGGTAGAATAGGGTCACCAGTACACAGCTGTTATAGACTAGGCACACTAAAAGAGTCATCACCATTCTCTCTTTCTCCATTCATTTGATCATTTTCTCCCAATTCCAGATTCCTGGAGAAGGGACTCTGGTTAGGAAAGCAAGGGCTTCAGCAAACTTGCCCATCTCTTCCCTATTTCCCAACATGTGAGAAATAATGGGTAATCTAGGAAAGTGGATAGCCATTCTCAACTGCTAACAACATAAAAAAATAGTCCTAACATAGGACCAGTTTTAGAAATTCAGCCAAACACCAAAGTTGAGATAATTTTCCATGAGCTCCAAAATACCTACAACCCAGATTCAATAATTTTCACTATTTTTGCCATAATTGGTTTATTTACATTTTTCCTTCTCTCTCTCTCTCTTTCTCTTCTCCTTCCCCTCCTCGTCTTCCTCCCCCTCCTTCAATATTTAAAGCAAATCCCAGATATTATACCATCATTCCTACATATTTTAATATATGTTTTAAAATTTTTTCTTATAAAACATTTATGCCAGTATCACATTAAAAGAGTGAAAAATAATTCTTTGCTATTATGAAATACCCAGTCCATATTCAAAGTTGCCTCAATGGTAGAAAACATTTTGTAGCTGGTTTTGTTTTAATTGGGAGCCAAACAAGACCCTTATGCTGCATTTGGTTATTGACCCTCAAAAATATCTTTTAATACAGAGAAGTCAGTCTCTTTTATCCCCTCCTTTTCCCTTTATTTTCTTTTGTTTTTGAGAGAGGTTTCCTTTATTTTGTTCCTTTCTTGTTTAAGTATCATTAAAAATGCATGATTTTTATATGTGTATATTCAATGCATTTCAACTGCAACCAGCATTAGTTTGATGCTTAAAATTTTTCATCTTTGGTCAATGGCCAGGAGCTCTGGATGTTGGCTTCTGTGTTCTTCTCACATGCCCGCATGGGTATTTTAAAATTTCTTTGAATTCTTGCACAATAAGGTATTTCAGGCCCATTTTGTTGAGTACCTGCTACAGGTAGAAATTAGCCATTCTTCAAAAGATGTCTAATTTTTTAATGAGGGAATGGTACTAGAGGTCACAATTTTATTTCTAAGCATACACATTGATATTGGGTTGGATGGCTTCCGAGTCTTTTTAGGGGACAGAGCTGGAAAATTCATATTAAAAAAATAGAACACATCTTTGTGATTGTGAATTGTACCTCTATAAGGGGCTGAAGTACTATATCATTGTGGTTTTGATTTTCATTTTCCTAAAGATTAGTGATGAGCATATTTTAATGTGTTTGTTGGCCATTTGTATATCTTCATAGGAGAAATATATATTCAATTTCTTTGACCATTTTTTTTAAAAAAGAACATAAGTTTGCATGTATTTTTTCCATTTTCATTTAAAATCTTTGATTTACATGTGTGTGTTTTGCTTACAAGAGAAAGTTTTTATACCTGCCAGTACTTATGTTAAAAACATACTTGTTTTATCCTGGAAAAAATAAACATATAGTTTTAAAATAATGATATCAGAATTATTTATAGCAATAATAAACACTGAATGAGTATAAGATTTCTTTGGAAAATATATTCATCCTTAGAATATCCTCCACTTAGGATGTACAATTAAAATATAGTAGAACCTCACCGTTGACCACCTCCCTACACTGATCACCTCCTTAAATTTACTTAATTTTCATAGACAAGACATGTACCACATGTACGTATAAGTACAATAGGCCTAGTTTTTTATGTTGACCACCTCCATATGCTGACCAGTTTGTTACAGTCCCTTGGGTGGTCAACTTGCAAAAGTTCTACTATACTGTATTGGGATTGATTGTCTTGCGAGGAAACTAGCTTAAGTAGGAGAGGGCTCTCTATGGATGTGCCTTATTACCTAGGCAATCTGACCAAACATGTGGCCTAATGAAGGGGTAGATGGCAGCCTTCTGTCAAGAGATGGCAAGTCTATGCCAGGAGTCCTGTGCCTCTGTGTCTACTGAGTAGCCTCATCCTCCACATATGTCAAACTTTATGTTGAATGTAGCAACAGCAGCCACACATTAAAGGAACAATTGAGAAGAAGGTGGAGCAAAATGGCTGAATAGAAACCTGCAATGATTGTACTCTACATAAACACCTAGTTCAACAACCATCCACACAAGAAAACACATTCAGAAGAACCAGAAGTCAGGTAAGGGAGCATAAGTACCTAGTTTTTCCTTTATATCAAGGAAACAGGCATGAAGGGGCAGAAAAGAGAGTCTTATGTTGCCTACCTAGACCACCTCTCCTGCATGTCCCTGTGGTGCTGGGCCAGCATACTAAGGGGAGAGAAAATCCACATACCCCAAAGAAAAAGAGTGACATAACTACGGAGCTTTGCACTGAAACTCAGGGCCACCTTGGCAGAGGAAACAGCACAGGGCAGAATTCTGCCAGTGCTCAGGGAAGGAACATTTGACCACCCTAGCCAGGGGGAAATTCTTGATCCCAAAATCCAGCCAGCCTTAGCACTGGCTGACAAAATGTAGTCTACGGCCTGAACCAAATTTGTAAGGCAATAGGGCCATAAAGGCTACAGTCCTTGGCAATTCCTGTGGCTCTGCTGGCTCAGAGCTAGTAAACTTGGGGTACACATGACACACTGAGACACCAGCAGGGGTGGCTAACCCAGTGCCTATGTCATGCCTCCCCCAACTGCAGGCAGTGTGGTTCAGGGGGTCTTCTTCCAAATTGGGGAAAGAAAAGGGAAGAGTCCAGAGGACTGTTTTGCAACTTGGGTACCAGCTCAACCCAGTAAAATAAAATTCCAAGCAGATTCCTGAAGTCCCTCATCCCAAGTGCTTAGTTCTTAGAAGGCTGTTCTGGACCCATCCTGGGCCAGAAGAAAACATGCTGCTCTGAAGGGAAGGACCCTGTCCTGGCAGGATTTACCATCTGCTGACTAAAGAGCCCTTGGGCTTTGAATAAATATCAGAGGTACATGCATGGGCTTTAGGTAAGA